GTTAACCCTAGATCGGTGTAATCTGTGGAATAAATTATGTTTAGTAGACGCAGTTAACCCTAGAATTACCTTTGGACCTACGTCGGCTTTTCAAGTAGATTATTTAAAACTGTTTAAGAACCAACTCACTTATGGGGGCAGAATAAAAAGTAGACAAAGATGCCCTCAATACTGCAGTTAATATCACCAATTTCTCTTGAGGTCTTCTGAGGACTTTATATAGAAAATGATATATTGTATAAAATCAATATTTTTACCCAGTTCCCAATACTGAGTGTTGTAACAATTAAAAATTCAAAAAAATTATTCAATGTGATACAACATGTGAACCCCATCAATAATGAGCAATATAAATTTAAGTTGATACTTTGAGGACTGATATTGCAGATTTAATACGACCGCTATTGGCTGTTTATAATCTACGTGTTTACTGAATTGTAAGCAGGAAAATGCTAGCAAAAAAGAAAACAAAAACAATGGAAGAACTTTTAAAGACCTTTCACACAAATAGAACCTAACAAGTAGAAATTTTGCTGTGGTTTCATAAGGTATGTTTTTTTTTTGTTTGTTTGTTTTTAATTATGCACAAAGCTACACAAGGGCTATCTGTGCTCTGCCCACCACGATTATCGAAACCCGGTCTCTAGCGTTGTAAGTCCGCAGACATACCGCTGTGCCACTGGGGGGGGGGGGGGCTTTTTTCCATGTTATGGTCTACTAAACTAATGGTATCGATATACGCGAAAAGATAATGAATAATAAGATTACTTTTTGAGGTTACTGCATATCAGAAGCGTCCTAACACATACACATATAAAATTGTATCTATGTACAGGGTGTCCCAGAAGTCTGGACCCATAGGGAAAATAGACATTATATTCTTAAAGTTAAAGAAACACATTTCTAGTGTCAGTTGTACATATTTCAGGAACGAAAACACCCTGATGACACGGTATACCAATAATTGATATACGTACGGCTGTTAATTGCATGCAATTTGAATAATAAATAAATTCATAATTAATTGTGTATTTTACCTTATGGGTCCAGACTTATGGGATACCCTGTATACTTCAAACGTCCAAATACATACACACATAACATAGTAACAATGTATACTTCAAACGTCCCAACACATACACATATAACATTGTATCAATACTTCAAACGTCCCAACACATACACATATAACATTGTATCAATACTTCAAACGTCCCAACACATACACATATAACATTGTATCAATACTTCAAATGTTCCAACACATACACATATAACATTGTATCAATACTTCAAATGTCCCAACACATACACACATAACATAGTATCAATACTTCAAACGTCCCAACACATACACATATAACATAGTATCAATACTTCAAACGTCCAAACACATAAACATATAACATTGTATCAATGTATGCTTCAAACATTACTGTACATCTAGAGCATGAAAAACGTATACATGAAACATTATATTACCGTTAATAAGAAAATACACTTAAGTGACAGCATGTTTGTTTGTTTGTTTTATAAGTTTATAGCAAAATTACACCACGACTACTTTGCATATTTATCTCCTAGTCAACAATACTCTCAGGTTGTTTTCACTGTATGACAAAATAGTGGGATTTGCGCTTCACTTATAGCGCAACCGCAGCCCCAGAGTGTGAAACGCGCTTTGCCGCAGCAGAATACGAACCACGAGCTCCCCGATTCACAGTCCGAGCACGCTAAACATTAGACCATGTTACAGCATGTATGTTCATATCTGTGTGTGTGTTAACAAAGTATTTCTTCAGCTTACGAAATAACCTTCGATAACAACGTAATCGTATTTCTAAAGATCAATAGGAGCAGTCGCGTAGGTCAGATATCGATTGATTCTGTATGTGCAGCTGTGAAAGAAGAAGTTATCTAATAGTCTGTTGAAGGTCGCGGCATCAACCGGACAAAGGTATCTAAAACAATAGAATGATAAAAATAACACAAACCGTTAGTAAAAAAGTACCTTTTGCAAGGCGCCGAACGTCTTTAGCACCCCTCCTGTTCAAATAGAACCTGTGTCCACTTCCTTAGTGATATCCGCCCTCACAAACGTTTATCGATGCACAGGTAGGGATCGGAACGGATTCAAGTGAAAGCAAGTATCAGTTGTAGACTTTTCAAACAAACCAGACGATAAACAAAGAGAAACATCGTATATCTGTTTTGTCGGAGTTTGCGCAAAGCTACATGGGGGCTATCTGTCCACAATTTTCAAGTGATAGACTTTAGGGAAGGCAACTGTACTCAACAACACACACACACCGCCAGCTCTTGGGCTACTCTTGTCAGACCAAATAGTTGGAGTTGACCGTAACTCTTATAACGCACCCCCAAATGTTTTTTGCCGGAGACAAGACGCGAAACCTAGACCTACAGCTTCACACTCAGCCACAAAGAGAAAGAACAGTGGCAAACGTAAATTTAAATGGTTTGTAGATAGCATCAAGAAACAGTAAAA